TCATTCTATCCAGAGGAGTTTGAAATGGATTTTTTCCATGTAAGAACAAACCCAAAATTTCCTGTTTGGACTGGTGCAGATCCTAAAAGCACAGCCACATCTATTTCTCTATCTAGGTGAGACCAAAGCTTTTACCTGAGTTCAAACTATAAGGTCTACAGAACACATGTGGATGAGGGCCAAGGGCTCTGCAGAGAAAGCACGTTTAGCTGAAATATTTAAGAAAATATTCAGAGCAGCAGTGATGAGTCAAATTAGAGTTCTGAGGATGGGCATGGCAGAGGAAGAGATTTGAGGAAAAGTCAGGAATTACATATCTGCTGTGTTATAAGTCAGACCCCAGAGTATTCAGGTATTCAGAAATGGATTTTAACCAGCCAATAGGATTTAAAGGATGATTGAGGGTCAGTTTTTAATTGTCATTCTCCACAGGTCATGGCAACAAGGCCCATGGTACATGTACAGGCCATTCTCATAGATCTACAATACCTACTTTTTTACTATGGCAGGTGAATAAACTACAGAATCTGTCTGCAGGAACATTCATGGTCTGTTAGACAATCATAATGCACAATATCAAATAGAATTCAATTGTAAAAAGCTATTACTCTTTATTGAATAATAGAGTTGATGAGTAGTAAAGAAATAAATCTGGCATTTGTAAAGGCCATAGGTTGGATAATAAAAATACCAAATTTGTATGTATTAAGTTGCAGAGCACACAGCAGTAGGCGCACCCTCTGTGAAAGGGAAAGGGAACTACTTTACCCGTAACAGTGTGGTTTGCTTTACTGAAATGCAGGCATGTATGTACAGAGCCTAATAATTGGGGTGGCTTTCAGTTTTCCAACTCAGAATGCATTTTTTTGTCTGAGGATGTCATAGTAGTGATGAGGATCTAAATCTAAAGACAGTAAGCAGCTTTCATCTCATCTTGTTCAATGTTTCCTATTCTGTGAGTTTGGCTGCTCTAGCTTTTACTTTATCCTATCAAACCTTTCCTACCCAAGGGCACTGGTTTTGTGTGGAAAGAGCCATAGTGTGTCTTCTCTTATTCTCCCATTTTCACATATTCACATTAGAGTTCCAGCTACTAGTCAGCAGTTGCTCAGACATGCCTTTGGAGCTTCCATGAAGAGCTCTCCTGGGCACCAGCCCTCCTTTGTACATTCTGGTTCAATGTGTTTGTCCTGTGTGGACATCTGTGGAACATGCACCTGAAGGACACAACTGGCCCTGCACAGATGGCCAGCTCTTTGCCTAATGTCCAAGGTTTTCTCAACAAACATTTTGTTGCACCAACTCCTCTAGAAGAGGGGACATAGGTGTTTCTGGTATGTTCTCCCAGCCAATATATTTGCCTTTGTACACTCTACATTTCATACCTCTGCAGCAGAATGATCACCACAGCAGCCACAGCAGACACTGTCTAAAAAATATGCTGTGAATTTCAGACAGTTAGAAGAGGCTTAACTGAAAAGTCAAATTACTGAAAGAAAATTGGTTCTGTTTTACCTCAAACCAGGACAGTTATCCCCACAGGTAAACTGGTTGAACACCTGATAACTGCTCACTTTCTGAAGTATGATAGCTTTCATAATGTGAAAAACTACTTTGTCAAGGCAGGTGAGACAGTTTAAAATATCCCAAGTAAATGAGTTCATGGAAGAGAGGAAATTTGGTTCTGCCAGTAGTCATGGATGGGGCAGCACAACTCCACAGAGTGGTCTGTCACTACACACTCTTGGGTTTGTCTTGTATGTTTTTTCTACACTGAATGTTAGTGGAAAAGGGTTGCAGAAGCAGCTTGTGAGAAGCTGAAAATGTTGATCAGAATGGGCTATCCAAATGCAGTCAACAGCAGACAAGTGCTCTTTTGTAACTTTAACTAGGGCATTGGACCTGGAGAAATCAGATGCTTCTCCTGAAATTCAAAAGCTAAGAGAGTAGTACTGTAAAGCAAGACAAACAGGTTAAAATCTGTTCCGTGTAGAAGGAGGTCACCAAGGACTCTGCTGCCTTTTGTGTTTAAACCAGTTCATGGTGTTTACCCCTACTCCCCAATGTTGACATAATTGAGGAGATATTAAGCAGCAGAAAAAGCAGCTCTTTCCAGCATTTCTCTGTTTAGATTTTCACATTTAATTTCTTATGGTTGCTCAGTAGCTATTCCACAGTGTTTGGGGCTATTGTCTACTTATGCTTTGGATGACCTGCCCATCCATATCACGCTTAGCACACGTATACTGGCATCTCTTAAGGACCTTAAATGAACTGAGATGTGGCCAAAGAAGTCCCACTTATAGGATTTCAGATGCTTTTTATTCAGTCATGGTATTTTCTGTGCTGGAGGCGATCAGCTGTGTGTGATGCACACACAGTCTGAGGCAGACTGTCATTGGTATTAGTGCTAGCCCTTTTTAGACAGCCAGCACCTTGTATTAAACCTCTCAGAGAGGCAGTGATTTGAGCTAAAGTAAATGCCTAATGTGTCCTTTCCCCTTCAGAGCCCATAGTAGCTGGTATGTCAATGTGTATTGTGTTTGCACAGCAACCCAAGGTAAATCCACCAGTCCTCTCTGCCCCTTGATTGCTGGTTGGCTCTAGCAATAAGTCAACTTGTTATAATAAAGCAGCAGTGAAGCGGTGACTTTTTTCCTGCTGCAAATGCTTGCCAAAAGAAAGGAAGAGGCTTGCCCAATTGCCACTCCTCGGGTAGCTGGATCTCACTCACTGCAGCTGTGTCATGCTCGTGGTGCTCTCTGGCAAGTGGTGCTGCTCTTCGCCTGGTGCACACAGCTGCCCAGTAGCTCACCTGTGCAACCTCTGAAGTGACCTACGTTTAACAATGCTTTCTTCTTTTTCTTTACAGAATCAGCTCCACAAAATGGCATTTGAAGTGATACCTTACAGAGTTTGAGTCCATTTCTTACTGGGATCATAAGAAGACAGGACTTTCTGGTATAAAATTTTCTACTGGTTAATTTTGAAGGAAATAAGCACTAGTCTTCAGATGGGAAAAAAGTATTACTCAAAACTGTTCTCTTTGGCTTTTTCAGTGACAACCTGAAAATCTTCCTCTGCTCTTCTTGTCCACCCATTGCAAATCTTTTGCATGTTATACATATGTGATCAAGTTATACATATATTATCATGTTATACATAGGTACTAAGAAGCAGTTTAGAGGAAAGCAATTTTACTATTTCAGGCTGTATTTCATATGGAAATTGCAGCCATGTGAGATAGTTCCACAGGCTATCATAAGTCTGCTTTATTTAGCAATGTTATTTCTATTGAGTACTGTAATTTACTGTAATTTATCCTGCATATCTCAGCATTTTGGAAGAATCTGCAGTTCTGAAATGGCACTACTGTGTTCCCAGCATTTACCTTCTTCCCATCAGTGAGCAGCAGGAAAAGCACAGTGAGTCATCAAAGAGGTGGAATATTTTTCCTTTAAAAGCAAGTACTTTGTGTCTGTGGATTTTGGACATTGCCTCCTGCCAAACTGTGCAGTCTGCTCTCCTCACCTCAATTCCTCTGCTACGTCTTACCACCACTTACTCCACAACATCCAGGAGGTGGTTTAGGGAACAAGGTCATCAGCAAGCAAATTAACTTTACCAAAATTCTCCCCCTTGATTTAGGTCTTCCCAGAGAACTGCTTAACACCAGGTCAGGCAAATAATAGTTGTGGCGTAAGTGAGGGAGCAGAAACAGATGGAACGAAGGAGACAAGGGGAGCATCCTCCTCCTCCTCAATGGCATGAGACTGGCTCAGCCGTGTCCTAAAACTGTGCTCTTAGTTGCCTGGTAAAATCAAATGCAAGAAAGAAGCAGGAGGTGAGACTCAGGATTTACCTTTCCTAATGACAAGTTGTCCAGTGCCTAAATTTAGCACAGCGAATATTTTAAAATGAGAGGTAATCCTTTTGAAAAGATTAGCATTATTTTTATCTGTGATATTAGACTATTCCTCTGTCCACTTAATTCTGTGGACTGCTACATTTAGTATTTAGTTTGTAGTGGTTTTATTATGAAAAATGGAACAAATACAGGCCGTTATCTGAATAGCATCACAATAGATGTTTTTATAAGTTTTTTATGCTGATGAAAAATAAAACAGATGGAACAAGAAACTCATGGTATCAGAGGCACAAAGAAAGAGATGGTTTTTTGAAAAGCAAGAATGGGTGATCACAGCTTAAAGATTTATGAGGGAATTAAGTGTCTAGCTCACAGCCATTGCGGAGCAAGCCTTGTCAGACAAGACCTTCCGTTGTTCTGAAACCCTGTTTTTGTTACGTGGAAGTTTATTAAGAAGTTGGAGAACTTTCTAGCACATACAGGGTTTCTCCCAGGAAAAAACAACCAATAGGAACAAGCAAGACTACACCACAAATGTCTTTTACTTTCCCTGCTCTCTGAGAACAAATCCTCATTCCAGCTTGAACTATACCCTTGATCAATGTTTAAAGGAGTGGTCCCACAGGAATAATTTGCTACTGCCATACAAAGTGGCATTTTCCTTGAGACCTACACAGAGATTGGATAGGTACAGCTAAATGAGACCGAGTACATGAGTTTATCATTTTAATGCAGATCCCTATCCTCCTGTCTCCTTCGTGTGGGAGGATCTATCTTTAGGGCACTAAAATCACAGGTATATTGGAGACATGCTACATTAGGAGAAGATCAAATTATGATCTTCTATGCAGGTGTCTCCAGAGGTCTTTGGCAAATATCACACAGCGTATTTTAAAGTAGATGTCAGTTTAGTGAGGCCTCCTAAAAGTAAAACACGACTGAAGTTGATGTTAGAAAGGAAATGGTTAACATTTTTAGGTTTTTCTCTCTAGTTTGGCTTTTATCAGATAGTCTTTTTTACAGCAAATTAACACATTTGGATAAAGCCTAGCGAAAGTGTGCTTTTGTCCTCAGTGCTTGCCGATGAGGATGTTAGTGGAGAGAAAGATCTCTTTTCCAAAGTAACCTCCACTTAAGGGGAACAATATCTTCCAAAGAAGAGAATGGTATTCGTTGTGTTGTATCTGATGAAGAAGAGGAATGGATGGTCAGCTCTGAACTCATAAGAAACTGGGTGACACAGAGGCATTGCAGCAAGCCCCATGGTACCAACTGCTTCAGTGCCCTCTTCATTCACTTCCACAAATGACTTCTGGATGGCTTTGGACACAGCTAAACCGTTTTTCGTAGAGATTCCTGACAAATCAGCTTTTCCCCAGTCAAAAACATTCATCACTCCCATCTCCTGGAGAGCTGTGTTGAGAACATAACTTTCCTCCATCTTGAACTGAGGCAGGTACACCTTCACTCTCAGCTGTTGCATCCTATCCGAGCTGGTCCATCCTGCTAGTTTTTCATATGTGAGGGTGCATTCAAGCTGTAAAGTGATATTGGTGAGAATGGTTAATACCATAATGAGCAGAAGGAAAAGATAATAAGGTTCAGTTTTTCTTGCTTGTCTTCTCACCACACTGGACCAATGTTAAAGTATTTCTCTCTTTGCAGCCCCTTATGTATGCTACTAGAGAGAAAGAGAAGTATTACCTGTTCTAGGCCAGTAAAGTCCTCACAGACAACTTCAGGAAGAAGAATGAGCATGCTCAGTTCATTGTTAAAGTATGGGAGCTCTAACACTTTCATTTTCGGTTCCTCTATGAAGGCCATGTTAAAATAACCTTCTTGAAACATCATCTGCACTGTCCTTTTCTCATTCTGGAACACAAGAAACATATAAAGCAGAGATTACAGAAATATAGAAATGATCATTCTGGTAGTAATTGGTTTCAGTATTGAGATTAGAGTTCAGCCTAGAAAACATTCTTTTCCCTGATCATGGGTTTAATGTACTTGTAGCGTTGATGTGTTCCTCCCTCTTAACTGTAATTGCAATTAAGCTATCCATTTTAGAAGCATAAACCCACTTTTCCATTTCTACTGGTGCCAAATTACTTTACTTCAAAACTCCCTTGTTATATCATTCTTTTTTCTGGCATGTCAGCTGAGGAAACTGCTGCATCTGATGCAACCATGAATCTAAGTTCTCCATGAATAATGTCTACATTCTTCTGAGATAATTTGTCTTTAGTTCATTTTTCCCCGAGAACAAACACTGTTCTACTGGTAAATAGTAGCAGAGGAACAGAATCCTCAAATTCAGTCCCAAAGGCAGACTGGTTTTGAAACAGCATCCACAGTTGAAAAACCCCCAACAAAATTAGTGCATGTGCTCAGTGGCTTTGACCCACCCAGGATCTCAGCTGCACAAGAGCCACTTCTGATGGGAAAGAGTTACATATTTGGTTATCAAACTGGAGAGAAGATGTAGCTTTCTGTTGTTCTAGCCGAAGACCAGTGTTTTGTCTTGGGGTAACAGAGAGGAGTGCTCCCATCTCTTGTCATAGGAGACTGATACGTGCTTTCTATCCCCGAGCCGTTTCAGTTCCTGCTCATACTGTACCTTGTTCAGTTGGAAATATGTTTCCTTGGTGTCTTCTTTCTTAAATTCTACTGCCCACTTTCCTTTAAAATATATAGCATTGACCAGGACAAGTACAGTGGAGGGATCAATAAACCCAGTAGCAAATAGGTCTTTGATTTTACCTTTAAAAATAATAAATTAAGAAGTATTATTACTTTATTCAGGCAATCAGCTGCATTTCACTATTAATAATTACTCCTGTAAATCTGAAAAGTAGTATAATTCTGCCAGAGGAATAACAGAAAGTTTATGTACAGCTTTTGAAGACAGGAACTCAAGGCATTTTTCTACTTCTTCCTACGTTTAGCTCCTATTGAGCAAAAAATGCAGTTAGTGTTTAATATATAAAATACATAAATATTTTTTTAAAATATATAAAAAAGGTGGGAACTGAAATTCAGACATGATATTCCTAACTGGTTGGATTGCAAACCAAATAACCTGCACATATTCTTCTTTACCTTTTGTCTCATTTTCCACCCAGAAGTTAATCTTCTCTCTGGCTTCTTCTTCAGTGCATTTAAAATTGACTGCTTCCAGTTCTGCTCGATAGAATTTCTTTGTGGAATCCAAGTATTGCTGGAAAGTACAAATGACAGAATTGTATCACAAGAGGATGCTTTTTATAAGAATGATAATTTTGTGGCTTTAAGGTAATTCCATGAAGTAGATCAGGAAGAAAGGAATGTGTAAAACAGGCATATATGTATTAAAAAAAAATATCATTGAATTAACTCAAGCATGCAATTTTTAGAGAGCTTTTTTATAATAAAACATATTTGCAGATACATTTTTCTGTATTTTCAAGCTGTACTGAACAGCAGAAATGTCTCATCACAGTAAAAAAAAAAATAAGAAAAAGAAAAAGACTTAAACTTAGTACCTTTCTTTAAGTTTACGTATCATTGTTATTCTGCCTGTCTTCCCCCAACCACCAAATGAAGAAGGTTGCCTTATTTTGAACAAATAACCAGGATTGATATTATCACAGTGAGATGTGTCTGTATATATATGTTACTCTGTATAGATACATACACTGTAAGACTTATAACTTTTATTAAGTATAAAACTTTTCTGGGCTGCTGGTCACCTTTTTCTGGCTCTGAAAATCTCTCTTTACCTAGAGTGCGAAGTTTTGAAAGAAATATAAGATCTTCACTGGAAAAGAGAAAGATGATTACAGAGATAAAACAGCACTGTTCCTAGCAATATTCTTGCAAACACCTTAGGTCTGGTTTCCTGAGGCAATTATTTGTATGCACTTGCATTGCCTCAGCTGTCAGTGTTCCACAGGAATGGTCTAAGATGGTCAATTCCACTTAAATTGGACTAATTGACCAAAATCTCAAAGATGCTACTTTCTTCTAAGCCTTGTCTGAAAAGGCAGCAGGGATCAGAGAGCCCCATGCTCGCAGAGGCTCTGAAGGGAAGATGGAAGAGTGAGTACAAGCATTTTATTAGAAACAGGCAAGACACTGGGGGAGAAAAAAAGTCTGCTGGCCACAGAGCTTCATTCCTTGGATAGAAATGACTTGGCAAATGCTAGCTCTATTAGACATCGGATGTGCATGGCAAGGATATATTGATGGTGATTAATGCTATCATATTTTCTGGAATACTCCGGGAAAGCTGTTACCATAGATCTGTTTCTTTACATAAAAGCTTTTAAGTCACAGCTTCTCAGTGCTCTGCTGTTCCCAATGTCTGCCACTGGGCAATCGAGATGGAAAGGCTCCCTGACTGCAAGAGCTGTGGAGTGCAGTCATTTGGCAGCACACCCTGACAGTACTGCTGTGTTTCATTTCCCTTCATATTTTATGATGGAAGAAATTCTGCTGAGTTTGTAATTCCCAGGAGCTATTAAAATGGACACCAGAGCCACTCACCTGGAAGAACGGATAAGTAATTTCTCCAAAGAGCCTGTTGGCAATGGTGAGAGAGCAGCCTGGTCTGGGTTCACTGACTGCAGCCAACAGAGACTGGAACTGGGAATGGACTCCTCCAGCTTCTTCGTACTTCAAACAGGAAAACAGAAGGTCATGGCAGGCTTGAGCTTTCCTATACAAAGCCAGACCTGAGGGTGAATTGCAGCCTCTGTCTGTATGAGAAGCCTTACTCCACCCAGTCAATATATGCATTGGAATAAATGCATCAGGACACCACCTCCAACTCCCCAGAATTCCAACAGAATGACAAAATTACTCCCCTTCAGGCCCCTGCTAGTCCACCTCCAAATCACCTTGTATCCTACAGTGATGGCCCTGTGCACAGTGAGTGGAAGGAAGTCTGCTGGCTTAGAGCCTGGTAGGAGCAAGCTCCAAGGTGCCTTTGGCATGCCCTGTAGACGATATTTTGCGGGTGGCAACTCAAGCACTTACAATGGTTTAGATTGGTACTCTTGTTTTGGTTAGAAACCTATAAAATCTATTCAGAGGGGCTGCTCAGCCGTGCCGTGCTTTCTGAGTAAGTGACATTTTGCAAGGAAAAGGGCTGACAAATTGCCACCTGTTGCTTCATCTCAGCACTGCAACTGTCTCTTACCTTCTCAGAAGCATATTGGTTTCCCTGGCTTGCACTGCTCAAAACTTCACTGAAGTGAAATACCTGCAAGGTAAATGTCGGATGAACGCAGCTGAGTGATGGTACCTCAAAGCTAAAATAGAGTGTTTCAAACCTATCCCAAAATACAGCCAGACACAGACAATGGGGAAAGCCCAGTTTGTCCTTTATCGTGAGATCCTTGGAAGTCGACAAGTGTTTATAAAGGCTGAGCTCACGAAATCTTTGAAATCTTTCTTCTTATGAAAGAGTACTGGGTATTCAGAGAAGGCAGTAGACCATATCACAAGGAACCACCACTTCTTAGCCTTGGACAGTGGAGTGATACCTCCAAAACATTTTCTTTAGCATTGATGTATTCATGGAATGATCAATTACTGTAGTAGTGTTTAATCTGGACAAGTTTGGTATTAGGACCAGCAAAACAGAAGGTTTTTTAAAGGGTCTTCTGTGTACATCACTCCTTTGGATGCTTAGGAACTCTGTCAGACAGAACTAACAGCCTCTTGGCTCATACCTCGCCACCATCCCATTCTCAGAGCAATGGACACCCACCTCCTCAATCTGTTTAAGCGTGTTTCCCCTGGCACCGAGGACAACCATCCCAAAGGCAGCTGAGAGACTTAGTGGAGAGAAGAAAATGTTTTCATTTCTTTTTATTTTGCTCAGCTCTCTGAAAAAGTCAAGACAGAACTTGGCATTGGCTGTGCTGAGAGAGCACATTGTGGCGCTGCAATCACCTGCAAGAAAGGAAACAAGGATTTATTGTTCTCCTCCTTACACCTGATAAGCTTAGATGCCTTGGTAGAGCACAGTAAGATTTTTTGCAGTAACGTGGCTGAATTGCTCAGCACTTCACAGACGATTTCTAACTTCCCACATCTGGGATTTCACAGTGACCTTCAGATTGAAGCAACTCATCTGAAAAGCAGCACCCTGAATGGCAGGAGAAACACGTTTTCAGAAACACTGTTCTGAGTTCAGCTGTTTCTCCAGCTCAAGCAACAGCTATACTTAGCACTAACCTTGTCCTCACCACAGACCCAGCTCACTTTATGTCCTGATCTTTCTTGTCTTGAGTGCTCCGGGCATAGTGCTTAATTAATTATACTCCTTGATCAAATCTCACTCTCAGTGTCTCTCTAAAAACTTTGTGTATATTAATCAGCTGTGCCTCACATACTGTGTCCTTCTAAGGCTGGTGGCTTAGTGAATGTTCAACAGAAAATTGAACTACAGATAGGCTCACTTAGAAAGATTTGCCACAAACATTAATGGAAAACCCCAGTCATATTTTTTATTTTAACTGCAGCTTTAACATCTTTTCCAGAAATACTTTAGTTATTATCACAATTAGTACTAGCAGATATCTTGAATGTTCTGCAAAACTCTTCACATCTTACACCAAGGACAGTGTTCCTTTCTTATGAAAGTATTTTCCCAGCGTCTTCATCCAGCAAAGTGATACAGAGGTATCTGAGCCCTTAGAAAGTCAGTTCAACATTTTAGAGCTTCCACTATTCTAAGTCTTTTTTGGTTTGATTCTTACTGAGAGCGAATACCTTTCTCCACAGATGTCAAAGGTACCTTCCCCCCATTACATAAGAAAAATTAAATTATCTATATAAATACTTAAAATATGGAATGCTGTAGAAAGATTTTGTTCTCATGAAGTACCAGTTTGGATCACGCAGAGAAAGTGTGAAAATGTTTGGTTTTAATCATCTTTTGGAAACACACTCGGTAAAGCCATTGTGCAAGTTAAGCACAGCTTCATCACACAGCCCACACATTTTAAGGTATTCCAAAACATTGCACAGCACCTTGAAAATATTCTCACTTCTTCAAAATATGCTATGTACAGTATATATGTGCTAGTCAGATATGTACATCACTAATGCACATATCAATCTTTAGACATTTCATAGCTATGTCATTTGTCATGTAAAGGTTAAAATTAAAGGTCAGGGAGATATTTACCTTCTCCTCAGGACTTCTCCTCAGTCAACTCGACTGTTGAGACAGGGCTTCTGGAGCAATGGGATATAAAGCCGTTGCCACTCCCAGGGACAGCATAATTTTCATTTGTGATGAATCACATCCCTGTCTGTTGCAAGCAGTAATTATAATTAGGGGACCTGTGGTGGAATCTTGAATTTTTCCTTATCCCCATGAATTCAGAAAGAAGTCACAATTATAAATACATCCTGAGGTGTAAAAAAAATTATACCTAATTATAAAAAAGAGGAGTTTTCAGGGGTTTTACCTGTAAAAAAAAGTTCTACACAATTTGAGGTATGTTGCTGTCAGAACTGAATATAAACATGTATGTTTTTTGTAGTAGAAATCAATTATTAAGGCCTCTGCAGGTGGCACAGTAGCAAATGAAAGAAAAATATAAAATATAAAAGTACCTATTTGGCCAACTGTGACATGAGGCAGTGATTCCAGAGTGGACGTGGGGCAATTCCCTTTGCCTGCTCCAGTCATGTGGTACTGAAGACTTCTTTCTTAAAGACCCTTTCCAGGGAATTTTCCCTACTTGTTCTCTTCTTCATCTGTAAATTTTGTCCTTAATGGACAAAAGGAATTTAACCATTTGTTCCAGAGTTTGTTGGATATCCACCAGCTTGGACAAACAGTTTGCATGCCATCCAAAAAGAGCAGGAGTGGTGCAAGCGCAGCATGGCTGTGCCAAGTGTGTACATTGGGAATGCTGCAGCTGAGCACTTTGCAGTTGTTGCAGTGATGAAGCACAGATTGTGTGCATTCCTATCAACCACACAGCACTTGCAGACTATCTCTGGGACACTTGGGATCCTATGCTTCCTGCAGAGACGCTGCACTTAGAGTCTCCCCATGTGTCATCTGCATTTCTTTAATTTTTCCAGGTGGAAATATGAGGGTGCTGTTCCTCTCCTAGGGATTCCTGATATTTCTTTTGTAAGTGGGGAAGGCATTTATGGCACAAGGGGCAAAACATAGAGAAGCTATCCCTGTCCATAGTTTTCTTTCAAACCCTTGCATTCTGCAGATGTGTTTACAGGAAACCTGGATGGGTTTTGTCCAGGCAGGCTTTCCATAAGGTGCTGATGTGTCAGCTAAGTTTAGCCCAGAACTTTTCATCACTCCTCATTTTTATCAGTGACTCTGAGGCAGTCTGGCCCTTGCCATTTGTTGTTTCAGCAAGGCATCAGCAGCAGGGGCAGAACAACCTAACTGTAAGAGGTAATGTGTTTCTGGGACTATTTTTCTGAAAAAAAAAAAAATCTTCATTAATGTTTATGCTGATATGGGGAGGGGCAAGTGTTTATATGAGTGTATGCAAGCACAAACACTTATAACACTGTTTTGTAAGTACTTAGTTATCACTGCTAACATATCAACCGTATCAGACACTAGGCCTCTCTGGAATTTAGGAAGCTCTGAAGGCAGATCCATAACTTTCATAAGATACTCATGAGTTTATTTCCTTTACAGTTTGAATTTTCTCTCATCTTTTCATTGGAGGAAACAAAAATATGTTCTTCATTCAAGCCCTGAGGAGAAGAGGGTTAGACCTGCACAGATTTTGCCTGAAGGGAATAAAGCCGTGCAGTCTGGTTTTGCTTGCTTGATGTTGGGGCAAGAAAACTTCCCAAAGAACTGTCTGGTTTGCTTTCCTGATTTCTGCTGAGGAATTGGCTGCTCTCCACGCAGTCACTACAAAAGCCAACTCCTGAGCCTGTTCCTCATGTTGTCACCTAAAGGAAACCACAGAGCAGAACTGGGCAGATGCTGTTACCTTTCTTAGCACGGTGAGTTATTCTCTGCATTCTTATTTTTGGCACTAGGCATAGCAGAGTTGGAGGAAAAATGCTGTGGAATATGAGTGTAAAGTATGCGAGTAGGAGCAGGAAGAAGCAACAGGTTTAATTCAGAGTGGTGTTCAGTCATCTCCCAGAAGAGGAGAAGGGGGGTGGTTTTCAAGCAGCAAGACACAACAATGTATTTCTCTTTCAGGAATACTGGCTATTTTGAATCTGAACTAATACAGTGAGTGGAAAATTACAATCCTGGAGCACAACGAATCATGTCCTTTAGGCACAAAGATGTGTGCCAAAGCCACAGTTCTGAAAATTCATTCTTCTGTGTATGAATTGGTCAAGGCAGAGTTCAAGTTATCTAATGTGCTAGGAAAGTGAGACACTACACTCTTGGCCCTGCTTAGTTTTCTGATACTTTTGAATTCTTGTTTTAACTGTCTTAAAAAAAACAGGTTTCTTTCTTGTTATTCCTCTGCTTCTTTAGGTACTTATGTTCCTATTACATTTTGCATTATCCTGAAGATTAACTGTCACTCCATTGCTCCATTTTGTGGAGGTTTGTTTCACATGGATTATTTCCTGACAGTTATTAAATTGTAACTAATGAAGTAGCTGGACTGGCATTAATTCCTAGACAGGGACATTTCATTTCCTGCTGCTTTTCTACTATCTTCCTTTGATATTTTCTGCTCTTCTAAATTAGTATAATGCAGGTTAGACAGTGGCTTAGACAGGCATAGCTCTCTAACACAAATGTCTGGGAAACACAAGAGTTTTTGTTCAAGTAGATTGAAGGATCTCCTGCATTGTAGGTTCTGATGAGACTCAGTAGGCAAATGCCTGCTGGGAAAGACAAAGCTATAACTCATCCTGCCTTTGGACAGGGAGCTGGACTAGGACTCGCAGCACCCCTGTCAGCCCTGTGACTCTCTTCTTGCTCTTGGAATAATTAAAGGTTCATTGCTGACCCAAGGAAAATGAAGAGGATGGAAGATGGGCATGGTAGTCTCAGAATCAGGAGATTTTACCAAGGGAAAGTCTATCCATTCCTAATGGGAACAGATAACAGGAGGATTTTTTTGAAAGGTTACAGAGAAGTAGTTGCTGTGATGCATTGTGTGGAAAGAAAGACAAAGATGTAAAAGCACTGCAAGTCCAAAAGCTGTGACAGGTTTTGTTTCAGATAGTTAGACTACTCTGGATAGAATGCAGATTTCAAAGACAGCGCTTGTAGCTGGTTGTCAGACACTTGTCATGGTAAAGTTGCTTTCAGGCACAGAGGAGTGGATCACAGACTGAGCTGCTTCCTACCCCTGCAGTTGCCCACATTTAAGACTGCAAATAATGTCACATCCTCAGGAAAAAGCTTTGTTCACCAACGCTTACATGTTTGCAGTCATTTTGGCTGAAAGTCTCAAACTCTTCACTTAGCAGAGATGTTTCTATTAGTGTTTCTTGTGGCCTTGGTACCAGGCCCAAGGGAATGAACACTTCTGTATGTAAGTTATAAACTGCAAAAAGTTCTGATTACATGGATGAGATAACCATAGAAAGGTCAAAACAGGGAAAAAGAGTTCCACTTGGTGATGCCAATCAGCAGAACACAATTTCACAGCAAGAAGCAGCGACTCACTCACCACCAGCATGTCTCTTGTGATTATTCTTTGCTGCAAGTGGACACACTGCAGAAACCTAGATGGCTACAGTTCCCCCTTGGCTTTTTTCTCACAGTTTTCAGCCATATGCTTTCCTTGCTGTCAGTGTCTGCAGGGGACAGCAGGGAAGCAGATTCTTGTTGAGAAAATAGAGACTGATCTCAAGCTTCACAGCAAAGGCTGTTCTTGTCTTTTTCATCTGACAAAATACACCTTCTGCTACCACTATGAGACTGCTCAGGTGGTAATTACAGAGTACCTGATGTGCCTGAAGCTGCCTGTGAGTACAGATACCATTGGGTAAGTAGGGTTGCTGAACAGCAAGAATGAAGGACTTCAGTGATTGTCACTGGACCAAGGATCAAGAGGGCCCACCCTATTTGCCAGACTCCTGCTACATAAGCATCACAAAAGATAACAATCATATACATCATATTAGAGCACTTAGAGTGATTAAGTGTCTGTGGTGATCCACAGCAACTTTAGCATGATAGGAAAATATCTCCTGAAGTGGATAAATAAGTGGGAAAGACTTCAGATGTTGCGGGTGGTCTCAGCTCATTTGACAAGCACCGTGTGAGCAAAGTTTGATTTCAATTCCTGTGATTTTCAGACTGCATGAGTCAAGAACCTACAGAAAAGCAAGTATCGCTTCTAAATTGCACTGCTGCCTGCAGATTCTCCAATACTGAATTTATTGGCAACAGAATGCAGAAATTTATGTCAACTTTACAGAGATTTGAGCCACCTCGTGCTGGTCATTCAAATTGCCCAGGAAAAGGTAAGCCCAACACTGTTTTTTTACCACCTGAATTTCTTTCTGCACCAGAAATCTTTCCATGATTGCGACAGACGTCTTTACTCTTTAGGGAGATTTAGACAAGACACAAAACAGCATCCAAAAATTCTTCATCTTTCATTCACTTATCAGCATTCCAAAGAAGCTCTAGGAATGCAGCCAGTTCTGCCTGTTGTACCTTCTCTGCTCACACCCTTTCTCACCTGCTCATGAACCATGACTAACAGGAAATTACATTTGTAAGCAAGGATGTCTGCATGTGTCTTCTTAACTGGCTTTCACAAAGTAAGGGGTTATGGGCCAGACAGATAAATATTTCTGCATGATGAGCCTCTTTTATAATGCCAGCTGATCCAGGCTTTGTGACTGATCTCATTGACAGTATCCCTGGATATCATTGCTTTGTGGCAGTTTAAATCATGTTAGAGGATGTGTCTTTTTACCTAAATAACAAATGCAGCACTTTTTAAAGCTGTGAGATATAGAATGTCCCTAAATATTCCTCTCCTAGCTCTATCTCAAGTAATTAAACATCCGTCCACCTCAATGCATAGCTTTTCTTGTCAGCCAGCATTGTTGGGTGCAGTGATGAAGACTGTAGAAAACTTCCTTTGCATTTTAAAAAAGGGGCTGATTTTCTATATTCTTTAACCACTGAGAAAGATAATAGATATTTTCATGCAGTGGAGCTACTGTTTGGGGTTTTTGAAAGTGTGCAAAATGTTGATTTGCATTTCAAAGTTCATTCCTACAAAGGTAGAGACTGGTTACATTTTTTTTTTATCAATGAAATGTATGCATGAATGAAAATTCTGCTGAAATAAGACATCAGGATTTTGGCATTTCAGTCTAGGCAACAGCAAATAGATGATATTGTAGTTCCTATTATTTCATCACTGAGGCCCTGATAATACTCCAAATCAGTCATTCTGCAGCCCAGAAAGTGATGAAAATCCAGAGTTCAAATTCAAAGTAGAACTTGCCTGTTGTAATTCTGGTGGGAATTTGGGGTGCTTCAAGTGACAGAAATGAGAGATAGGCATGTTTATGCATTTGTGAAAAGGAAATTCCATGTTTTTTATCACTTAAGCATTTCTCCTTAGCATCCTCAAGCTTTTTTTTAATGTTACTGAGGATGTTGGAAAGCGATAAACTCTAATCGCAAACATTTATTGTTTCATAGAGGTCATTGGGCAAGGTATAGTTAATATCACAGGACAAGGTACACATTCAGAGAATTGGGGATTACCACAAGAATTTATACAGTGCTAATGAAAATGAAATTTGGTGAGGAATTCCCCTAAGTTTTGGTGAATGCAACACATTCAGCACAGATCAGTGTTCATTTTCACGTTATTCTTGGAGCTGAACTGTAAAGAATAAAGGACTGGTTGGAAACATTTTGTACCTAAAGAAATGGGAGAACCTTACTGCAAGATCTGCATTCAGCCACTGGCCACTATCTACATTGTGTGCAGACTCCTCCCTCTGGAGCTCCAGCCACAGAAAATACATGGATGGGTGATGGTTTTTAGTATAGAAGAAGCTGATAATAAAAACTGCTGTCCATATGGCAAATCAAGTTTCCAAGAGTGTATAAAACATGTATGAAAAAGGAATGAAAAATCTATTCCCACCAGCAGATCTTGTAATAACTCTGAACAGATACATTGAGCAAATCTCTGTTGTTCTTTTGCAACTTCATGGAGCCCTTAATTAGCTTTGATCGGAAATGACAGAAATGTGTGGCTGGAAGGAGCCTCAAGATTATCTAGTGCATCTGCTGCCCTAAGGCAGGATCAAAGATGTCTGGATTACAGTTGATAGGTGTTTGTTGAACCTGTTTTTAGAAGCTTCTAGTCAAAGAGTTTTCAAACCTCTGATACATTTCAGTGCTTCCTTATCCCTGGAGTTTTAACTCATCTCTGTCCTAAATCATCCTGACTGAAAATCACAACAGTTACATTCGGGCATCTTTAAACTTTGACATATGCTACTGTCCAAGCCATGCAAATACTTATTAGTCAATTTATTCTTTCTACAAGATGTAGTGTTTGGGAGTGTCTCCCTGGTCATAAAATGTAATTAATGTAGACATAGTCATGACCAAGAACTTACTACCACACTAATCACACTACCCAAAACACTGTGGGTATTGTTAATTACTGAGCTACTTCAACATATTATGGACTTGGACACCTGAAACCTCTTCATGGCCCCTCAACCCTGTAGGGCATTGTATAATTTTCACAGTTCTGAGGAGAGAAGTGTTGCTTTTGGCTGTCAGACTTGATGTTAAAAGTAATTGTTCTTTCTTATTCCTGTGACCATCATTGTGGAATGATTTCCACAGCTACTCAAATTATGCAATTGCTTGGTAGTCTAATGTGTTATTAGTACAAAAGTTAGTGTGGGGATGTTCTTGACAGTCCTTACAGCCAGTGAAATCAGATGTATTGTGGTCCAGAACTGGAGCGTGATAGCCGATATTGTGCACATATTGTTAGTGATCAAATTTCTGAGAATAAAATGTAACTTGGAAATACCCTTCCCAAGGTGCCAAGCCCTATGAGGAACTGGCAGGTGTATAATTTGAAAATACAGGATCAAATTTTCAGCCAATGTAAGCTGATTCATCTCCAAAGGAGGTGTGAAAAGAGAATTTCATCCACAGAATAATGTGGATGTGCAAATGGTATGTTTTCCACATCCTGCCGTGGAATGTGTATAATATATAATTTCATCATTCTGCAATTCAAATTCCTGATCTACATGCTTGGGGTAACCAAGGACAACTGAACTGTCCTGCAAATAAAATTCTCTACATCTCTCCCCATTTCTGCTTTCTCTCAGTTGCACTGTTTTTTACCATTGAAAAAGTTGTTACTCTCATATTATCCTGGATAAAATTTGACAGCCTCTTCATTTCTGGCCTGCCAGTACCTCACCTTGTGAACACTAGATACTTCTATCCCAGCTGGTTGTAAACATTTGTGTACAATCTAATGTAGAACCTGCGACCAGTATCACTTAACCAACAACCGTCATAAAACAAGATGCGTTTACTACACAGAATAAGATATTAGAGAAAAGTTGACTTTAAACCAATATGCTTTCATGAACCATTATTTCATGCAGAATACACAAAACAGCCCCTGCTATTTTGGTCTTGCATGCCTGTTGGATGCAAACAAGAATGCCTTGACAGAACATGATGTCAAATGTCTTTGGTATTTGACCTGGGACACACGTGTGAAATGTAGTGGCACACAGAAGTGTCTCACACTGATGAAGGCAGGTACCTAACTACAAAATGTTGATGAAGGGACATTAAGTGTGTCTGGGAAGTCATGACACACCTCTTCCCATGCAACTATCTATTTGTGGGCCAGTGGAACAGCATCGCTGTGGTACAGCAGCACACACAATCACTGCTGCTGCTGGTGGAAAGTAGCATTTGACCCTTTCCTAAACCTTCATCTTGTACAAAGTAAACATTACCACTAAGCCACAGGAGGTAAACAGGAACTGGAATGCCGTGAAATGCTTGTGGGGTGACTTCAAAGCTCTGATCCTGCCAGCAAGCTCTCTCATTTGAGAGCTGGGAAAGCCTGCAACTACATGTCTTCATTCGCAGAGCTGCAGTTTACTCTGTATTTAAGATTGGCAGAAATCCAGATGACCACCATACAGGTTACTATGAAGAAAGTTAACTCCCTCCCTGTCACTCTCAGTGCACCCTAGTACAGACATGGGACAAGGATTGAATTAGTATATTCTGAAATATGTGTGATTTGGAGGATATGGTACTTTAGAGGGACTTTCCTCCATTATGACATTCTGGACTGAGAAAGCCTTTCCCCTCAGTAGCCCCCTCTCTATTATTTACCTGCTCATCAGGCAGAGGGCTATAGAAATGTCAAGACAAGAGATTACAAACTTAAAAAAAGAATCTTCCTCTAGGGCCACCCATCTTACGGTCTTGAAGGACTGTGGCTTTTCAGGCACATCAAACACCAGAACTTTAGGGAAGACTTTTCTTTGAAAGGTTTCCCAGTGACATTAAAAAAAAAAAAAATCAACATCTTCTGCATCCATTGTTGTTTTTAGAATGGCAAATCAGATAAATGCAGGTGGAGGATGTTTAAGTTCCTGGTGGTACATTACACCTCACCGTGCTTTTAGTTCATGGACAAAATACAACAAACAAGAGACAAGACACATGGCAAGATGTTCAAGTATTGAGCACCTAAGACATCTTTCAAATCAGGATTCAAGAAGACAGACCAATTAAATGCTTTGAGTACCTTTATTGCTGCCACACTATATGGTTCAGAAAACTACTACAGTTTAACTGTACTACTACAGCTAAAATTACTTGTAAGCTATCATTAATTGTTATAAATGTACCAAGTTTTGGAAAACCAAACGCACTCATAGGATACTGTGTGTGAGACCATGTGTCTACACTTGATGCTTGCAGCAGGAGAAAAAAAAATGGGAAGAAAGCAATATCCAGCTTTCTCCAGAAGAGGACAAACAAGCATGGCACAGCTGAGGTCAAAGAAGATGCTACCAACTTTTTGATGACAGATAACATGTCACTGTAGGGTTATTGGGTTCCCCCTGAAACCTGTCGAGGCTTTGTCAGGCAGAAAGCTGGCATCATTGTGAAGGTGTTTGTGGCTTGGACTTGCACTGCAGGGAAATGGGACTGTTCTGGTGCTCTTAGGAACCCCTTACAACAAAACACTGATGAGCCTGCACTCTCTGAGGAGGTGCTGCATCACACTGAAAAGGCTCGCTGCCAAATCACAGCCAGGCAAAGACCATAATGGCCCAGAGCCCACCAGAGAGGAGCAGGACTTCTCTCTCTTGTGCTGAATGGGAACTGCCTCTGCCCAGGGGTATCTTTTGTGTCTCTACCGCTGTGGGAAAGGCTCCTGTCACTTCTCACCCTCAGGTCCTTCTGAGGTCCTTCTCAGAGGGGAGGGCTGGAGAAGGTACCTGAGGAGAAGAGAGAGGGACAAATGGAACTATGTATCTCCATGCTCAATGTCTGTATGGAGCTGTACTCAGGACATGAACACAACCTGTGGGTTTCACTGCCATCACGGCAGCCAAAAGCCTCCCCTCCTGGTGGCATTAAGGCATTGGGTTGCTGGAGACATGTGGGAGGGAAGCAGGAGGTTCATCACTGAGCTGTCTCTGGCTTGGGATCTGGTGGCTGGGGAGGAAGGTCTGCAAAACCTTCTGGAGGCTGACCCCACCACCAGTCTTGCCATAGAGCTCAAGAGGGAAGGCATCATTTTGGACTTCCTCATTTACACAGCACTTCACCCAACTGTTTAGACAACCCTTCTCCAGTGAGAGTTTTCATGGCCAAGAATGAAATAAGCTCCATTAGTGTTGCTTCCAAGTTTGAGAAGAGCTCTAAACAGGAAAGGCCCATTATAATTTTTTTCTCGTAGTCTTGCCAAGGCAGCTTTTTTTTTCTCTTGGGATCAAGATTATGGATATCAGGAAATGCCAGTGACACTTGATAGTAATGTGTTGTTTATGCCTTACTTCTTTTTACCATAGTATTATGCTCTCTTTGTGAAGAAAGAAGTAAAATCTTTCCTTAGGGGGAACAACATCGGCCAAAGAAAAGAATGTTCTTGCTCGGATTGTGTTTGATCAAGAAGAGGAATGGGTGGTCAGCTCTGAACTCATAAGTAGTGCCGATGGGGTACATGTCCCCACATACGATCCATGTAGAAGCAGCTGCTGCCTCAGTGCCTTCTTCATTAACTTCCACAAAGGACTTATGAATAGCCCTGGAGAGGTACAGCCAAGGCTTTATTGACAGCCCAGAGAAATCAGCTTGCTCAGGACTGAAGACATTCCTCATCCCCAGAGCCTGCAGTACTGGTGTGAGCTCAAAGCTCTCCTCCATTCTGAACCGGGGCAAGTACACTTCAATTTCTTGTAGAAACACGTTCTTCATATCGGTCCATTCTACTAATTTCTCATAAGTGACAGCACTCTCTAGCTGCAAGGACAAAACACAGGGAATCACGGTCATGAGAAACTACATCAAAATGCTCGCAGCAACATTTTCCTTTAAGGAAAGCCCTGTTTTTCACGACAAAGACAGAACCTGTGCCCTACAGCTATTGATTGTAAAGTCAGCCAAATTCAGACTCAGCCTTGTCAGAGGGATTCTTCTCATTTGTTCTGATTTTCATCAAATACCAATAGGGCATCATGTATCGATGCTTTTACAGGGAAGAAGTAAGTTCCCTTCGCTAGTGCTCCATTTTGTCCGCTGAACTAGGCATTAATTCCCTTGAAAAGGCTACAAAGTGTCACTTTTGAGTAAGTTTTTCCCAGCCTTGCTATGCTCTTCTTGAAGAAACCTATATACCCACTAATCTATCTCATCTCTACACAGGCAGCAGTGTTCTGCCTCTGGAAAGCAAGATAAAACCCAGAACACTTAAAAGATATAATCTTGGCCTGCATGGCTGGGAAGCATGTTATTTAAGTACTGGATGGACAGGTAGTTTCTCCTCCCAGGAGCAGAGACAGGAGTGTTACCTGTTCAAGGCCAGTAGACACATCACAGATGTTTTCTGGCAGGAGAATGAACATGCTCAACTCTTCTCCAACATACGGGAGCTCCAGCACTGTCACTTGTTCTTCTTGTCTCCTGGCTAATTTGTAGTTTCCTATCCGATGCATCATGAGTACATTCCTGTGTTCTCTCTAAAATACAGAAAGTCAATCAATAGTCAGAAAAAACAACCAAAAAAAGAACACAACAAAAAATAAGCAAAACAAAGCAAGTAATAAACCCCATGGAATCAACCTGCTTGAAATTTCTTGTTCATTTTCCATGAATGGTCCTTAAACCACTATCTGTTTTTGCTGCAGGCATTGGCAGAGGCTCAAGTTCTGTGAAAGCCCTAACAGTCACTCTAAGGGCTTCTAGTCCTCTGCACTGTAGTTCATGCTCCTCATCTAACTCTTTCCTAAAGGATAATGCCAACTTCTGCTACAGCCCCTGGAAAAGGCTGATGGGCCCTTGGAAAAGTCTCCTCTATAATTTAGCCTCTCCAAGAAGGTACCAAAGCTTGCCTTCACATGACCTCTGTCTCAAAGGTACTTGGGCAGAGGATGCTGCTTTCCTACTTCACAGGGTGGAGGCTTTTGGCTTGGATAAATTGGGTCCCCACACCTGGGCTGGGCAGAGACTTGCCCTGCACACAGCAGAGCACAGCCCCACTGTCCCCTGCTCCCCACAGCTCTTGTTCCAACCGTACCTTGTTCAGCCTGAAAGGCATTTCCCTGGTGTTTTTCTCGAGAAATTTTGTAGCCCATTTCCCTTTGAAGTAGATAGCGTTGACCAGAGCTAGCACCGTTGTGTGATCAATAGAGCCAGGAGGGAAGAGATCTTTAATTTTTCCTTTAAAACAACAAGCAAAGGTAAATTATGATTTTGTTTTGACCATTGACTGGGAATGATCCCATTACTTCCTCACTTGGAACAATTTCCCATTTGCAGCAAGAGTTGATCCACAGCTTTAGCAGAGTCAAAGCTCCCAGAAGCTCAGGGCCATTGTATGCCCCAAGCTGCTTTTACAGTAGCTACAAGCAAAATTAATCACTCCATAGCATTTTTGAGTGTTGCTACACTCAGGAAAAGGAAGAAACTCCAGCACCAGGGATTGACTTCTCACATGGTCCTGATGCACACCCCCCAGGCAGCCAAGCACAGGCCTTGTCCCTACCACAAGTTTGCTTTTCCACCCAGGAATTCATCTTCTTTCTGGACTCATCAGCTGTGTTAATGAAGTCCATTGCTTCCAGCTCTGCATGGTACAAGGTCCTTGTGGAGTCTAAGTATTGCTGCAAAACAGGGAAGAGAGGTGGCTCTCATGACGGTATTTGGGGAGCTACTTGACCACAGAGTAAAATAAGAGTTCAAGAAACAGACACCAAACTGTAGGTCAGAGGTCTGTGTGGGGCTACTTGTTCCAGTATTAATGTCCTGCATATGCATTATGACTTTTCAGGAGACACTTTCTGGGCACAGGGAGGAGCGAAGCAACCAGTTCCTGGGACACCTTTCATGTAAGAAAGTCCCAGCTCTACTGTCTTTTACAGTTCTTTTACTGTTCTTTGTGAGAAAGTGTTTTGCTTTTTGATCAAGACAACCATTTCAGGAAGATAGTTGTTGGCAAGGGCAGGGCACAAGTCTGCCAGCCTAGCCATCAGCCATGGCCCCTGCTCCCCTGTCCTTGCGGAGCAGCCTCCCCACTGCTGCTCCCTGGCCCTTGATGCAAGCTGGCCCTCACTTCTCTTCCCACTTCTCATCCATTCACTTCAAAGTGCCAGCTAATGAAAAATAACGTGCAAGGACTTCATCTCCCCCATTGTGCACAGCGCAAATGAGCAGAAAGAATGCTCTGGGATCAGGCCATTAAATTCAGGTCTCAGTATAGACACAGGTGTGCAGAGAGAGAAACAAGCCTGGGCAAACTGGATTTTTCCCCCTGTCTGGAATGATGACTTCTGTGGAAATGCTCTACACTACACCATTCAAAGATGTAAATGTGCTGCAGCATTTTAAAAAAATGTAGGTAAAGGTTGCCAATTCCATCTATATCAAAGCATGAAGAAACGTCATTAGGTGCTACCTAGATCTTTCAAAAGTATTTCTATCTCCTCCTCAGGAAATACAGGCCCTTTCCCTTGACTTTAGACAAAGTCTACTTAATCTCATAAGTCTCTCTCTTTATACTCTTCTCACTCTGAGTTTCCTCCATCAGTGAGAGCTTGCTTTTCTGTCACAAGGGCAGCAATGCAGAAATGTGCAACTTCATATCCTTAGCAGAAGTTCAAAGTGTAGTACAGAAGTTTTTCAAAACCACATAGCCTGAAAGGAGTTATCACTTACCTGAGGGAACTGAAAAGTCACTTCTCCAAAGAGCCTGTTGGCAATGCTGAGGGAACATGTGGCACCAGATTTCTCAAGGGCAGATAGAAGCTCCTGGAACTGAGAATGGGCTCCTCCGGCTTCTTCACACTGCAAGCAGCAAGGGAAAGCTGTCTATAGCAAGGTGCACTCGCCTGGAGTTCCACCCATGTGCCCTCAGGCTGAAATCATAGGCACTGTCCCCAAATGCACTTGTGGGGCCAAGGGGCATGCAAAGACCCACAAACACCTCTGGGCTTTCTGACCACCCAAAAGCACCAGGTCACACACTTGTCTCCCTCCTCCCCTGTCATCTCTACCTTGAAAAAGGATCACCCTTTTTAAATACAGCAACACTTCACGCAGCAAGGCAACAGGGTCTCTTCTGCACATCCACACAGGTTTCAGAGTTTGATGAGGACAGGGCTGAACTCTGCTCTTACCGTACTTTTGGACTAAGTGCTGCCACTTAGCAGGTAAGTCTGCCTTGCCTTGCTTCACTTCATGCTATAGTTCAATATTACCACAAAGTTTAGATGCTATCTCACCTTTCCAGTGGTGTTTTTGGTTCCTGGACTTGCTGTGCTCAGCACCTCGTGAATATGAAGCACCTGCAATACAAATGCAATATAAATCTATTAATGAAGACACAAAGAAAGCATTAGGGTTATGCTGCAGCCTCATGGGCGCTGCAGAGCAGATGAGCGTGTTTGGACAGGAGAGATTTGAGACCTGTAGCTGACACTTCTCTCAGTTTGCTGTTTGTGAAGAACATGACCTGGACTGCCAGAAGGCTCTTTTCCGTTTCCAAATGTAAGCCTCTAATAGCAGTTCCCAGAAAAAGGGAAAAACACCCACCTTTTCTATCTCTTCAGCTGTGCTGCCTCTGGCACCCAGCTGGATCATGCTCAGGGCAGCCGAGATGCTCAGCGGGGAGAAGAAGATATTTTTGTCTCTTTTTCCTTTGCTCAGCTCTTTGAAGAAGTCCAGGCAGAACTTGGTGTTTGCTGCAGTGAGGGAGCCCATCATGGCACGGCCAAGGCCTACAATAGGACAACTATGTAATCCATTTCACAAACATTGCCATGGTCAGAGCACAAAGTGTGGAGAGAGTTAGAAACTCAGAGCTTTTCTCAGGAAACAGCACCCCAAGCATCGACTCGCCCCTGGGAGCAGGTTTCAGACCACATTTAGCACTTCATAGCAAAATGCACCCCTTACCCTGATGTGAACAACCACCTCTGGGCAAATCACTCCTTTAGCCCTATTCTTGCGCTTCCCCTGTCTGCTCTAGCTTTCCCCACGCTCGCTTTCATGTCCTCAGGTTTTTTTTCTAAAGGCTGTACGCTGTGTAAATATGGCCACCCATTCAACATCCTGTTTTTCTTGCAAGAACTGCTACGTGGTTTAGAAGCGTTAGTCAACCATCAGATACTGTATTGTCTAAAAGCTTTTTTTATTTGTATATTGTGTGAAACATGAGCACAATGTATGAAAACAACCAAGAGAGGGACCAATGAATTGGATTACCAAGTCATAGACAAACAACAATGTGGAAAGGCCTTCCTCTGCCTCCCCAATTTGAGGTAGCAAGATCATACATGTCCCAGCACTTCTGAGATAACTGCCTTGCCATTTATATCGCCTTTTGCCTTTTAAGGGTATTACCAAATTGAGCGAGCTGTTGAGCGAGCTTGTTCAACTCAAGCAAAGAATTTGGCTACACACTTCCTGCATCCTGGGACTGTCACATCCATGAAATGTGGAAGCCAGCCCTGCAGGCAGAAACACCACAGCCTGCCTTTGTGCACAGCTGCAACACTCCTTTTTCCCCTCCAGCTTCTGTTTCCAATCCTATCACTACCCTGAGGAAAGATAGAGCTGAGAAAGTTACCTTCTCCTGGAAAGAGGTGACTCTGGCAGCTTCTTCGCTGATAGAGGGTGGTGTCCTGCCCTGTCTTAAATCAAAACCAATTGCTGTGTAGTCTGGCTCCGTACCCAGCTTACTTCTGAAGAAAGAACGTGTCCGGAGAAATCAAAGATCAACAACAGAGTACCAGGAGAATGGCCTTTCTGGTCCCACAGCAAAGTGGGAGACACAATCCAGTCTCTTCTGGTTTTCACTCTCTGAAACAAATAGTGAAGAAGGAAATACGGGTTTTTCCCCTCCCAGAGAGGAGGGACCCTGTTGATGCTGCTGCATCTCATTAGCTTGCTCTGCCGAATCGTCTCAAAGACATGGCAAGCATCTGCAGAAAGCATACAGCAACAGCAAGAGGGAAACAGAAACAAAACAGAAAGTAAGACTCTGATACGCAGCGTTCAGAGAGGCACTGAAGTCTATCTGGGAGCCACTGTCTCATGAGGAGCCCTGACAGTCCTGCAGCAGACGATAGAGTCAGGCCCATAACCACAACATGTTATTTCTTCTTTATCCCAGGCCTTGCCAGAGAAGTGCAGTGATCCAGGCTGTGCCCTGGCTTAGCTGGGTCTGTCTCAGCACAGGCACTTCATCTGTCTCGGGGATCTCAGCACGTTTTCCTTCCTCTGTCAGCAAGGGACAGAGAGTAGAGGGAGCCCACAGTGGCCTTCAGCAGCACATCCCGTCCTGGGTTTTGAGCATCTTCCAGACTGTGGGTCAGGAGGTGGCAGGCCTAACAAGGTGCTATAGGACCTGGTCCAGAAGGCAGAAGGAGTCCCAGTTACACAGCTTTGGGAACAGATCCTGGCACCAGGATGCTCCCATATGGCAAGAATTTTAGGGAACTGTTTTTTTCCATTGATCTCATGCAGAAAAAGAGCAAGAGGAGGTGAAACAAAGTGAAGCAACAACTAGCCCTGCTTGTGAGAGCTCGGTGTGGCCAGCACTGCTAGTCATATGCAGGGAAGAGCACTGAGCTGAAGCAGCTCCTTCTTTCAGACTGATGCTCCTTGCTCTTCCAAGGCTGGATGTGGATTTTCCCCATGACACCAAAGACAGTTATCCACTGCAATGGGAGCATGTTCAGCTGAGGTGCTCAGCTCAGTACATGATTGCTGCTGTACTCCAGCTATAGATCTGGTATCCTAACACCTAGGTCTAGCCCACAGGTTTCAGCAGAACTGTGTGGGGAAACTGAGGCATCGACAGTTTTGGCTTGAAATGTGTGTGTGGCTCATGAGACTTTTGCTGAGTTGCACAGTCATTGTCAGTCTGCACTTCTGGGTGGCTTGCACAAAACAACAAGCAAAAAAGGCAGCAAGTTGGAGTTGCTCCTGTCAGCAGGCACAGGAGATACACCAAAGCCCCCGGCTATGTTTTCCAGGATCCTTCACATTCATCAACATTCATGAACAAGGAAATGGCACTTTGCTGCCAAAGCACACACTTACTCATCACTTAACCCTGGAGGTTGTTAGGCTTCACAAGCAGCAGTGAGCTTTTTCCTCCCAGGTGTCTTGAGGCTGGCTGGGGGCTGAGCATTGCCTGTATTTTAGGCCAACAGGCACTGCGCTCAGCTCTGCTCCAGGCAGAATATCATACTTCTCACTGAAGACCAGCAGCTGACTCCATTGAGCAAAGTTCAGCTAAGCCCCCATGTTGATATCACACGATGATTGCAATAATATAGTCTGAAAATACGACTGGGGGGACTCTCCCCTATTATGAAACTCTGGATTGTGAAAGCTTTTCCCCTCGGTGGTCTACCCTCTACTGTTTAGTAAGATAATTTCTCACTGGGCAGGCTGAGGGCTGTGGAACAGGCAGGATGGGTCACAGCTGGCCTGCGTTAGGGACTGCTTCCTGAGAACAGATTGCAGGGGAGAGAGGTGACTGGCAATGGAGGGGGCTGTGGTGGGGGGCACTTAGAAGAGGAGCTGTCGGGTGAGTGAGCGGAGGCAGAGCTGTGGCTGGTGCTGCGAGGGTGCAGGCTGCAGTGAAGGCTGCAGGAAAAGCAAGCGGCTTCACAGGGCATTGCGTGAGAAGAGAAGACACTCACATCAGGATACACAACAGAGGCCCATCAGCAGTGCTTTTTCAGCGTGTTTAAAACTGTCAGTAAGTGTATGGAAAAGCTGGACCCTGTTTCCAAACCGTGGCAGTCCAGTGAGGGAGTAAGGCAAAACAGTCTCGGAGCTGCATGGGTGGTAGTGCTCTTATACAAAAGCTGTGGCACTCCACCTCATAATTCAGAACATATAATTTCATGCCTGGGGATTCAGATGAGAAAGCTGCAAGCAACACCCTCCAAAGAGCTAGAAAGAAGCTCAGAATTTAATTACTTCATTCATATTTTCTTTTCTAGGCAGATATTTAAAAAGCGAGGCAAGATTCATGCTATCCGAAAGATATAGAGTAAAATATCATTGTTGTGAGGACAATAATAACAACCCACGTATAGATACTTTTTTTCTATTAAAGTGTTACTGAGTTAAAACAAGAGTAGTCCTGGGAGTAGGGATTCCAGAACTCATCTGCAAGTTGTTCTAGTTACTGAACTGCAAAGTTATTAGTCCTTAAGTTATTAAGTTGCAGTCATTTGAGTAAGAGCACAACTTCAAAAGGAAGGTGGATTGTTTTCCACCCAGAATATGTGTCTGATAGTGCTTGGTATGTTCTGGGACATGCAAGCTTTAAGTCCTGTGAGGGTATGGGACACACTGAAGACAGGCCCTTCACCTCCTGAGCTACAAGAGTTTCTCCTCTACAGAAGTTATGTACCATTTTCACTTCAACAAAATGAAATCACTCTGGCGGCATTTTCAGGGAGCCCAGTTTAGATAGCTTGTGCAAGGTCTGCTTTGAACGTATTCACTAGATGTTCTTTGGGGACTTGCACCTCATTCCACTTCATTCGTGGATTTCAGCATAGGCAAAGCACCTCCTTGCTCACATCAGGACAGTCCAGAGCAAGCAAAGAAAAATGTTAGTTGCAGAATTTACAAAACGTGAAAATTAAATGCTTATATATCTTGGATACTTCCGTACATGTAAGAAAAGAGAATTTTTCTTTCACATGGCTTTTTTGGATGTACATGCTTGAAGCCAGCCTACGTTCTGTTTAGGAGAGACACACAATTATTTTAGTGTTACTTCTCCTTTCTGAAGTCATGTGTAATTCTGTGCATTAAACATGTTATGCACTGGTTCTCCATTACATATACACATAAAAATACAGTCAGGAAGTGTAATTTCTGAATTTAGTTTTCATAAAGCCCATGAACACTTAGATGTAGTACCTGCTAGAAATAATTATAATGCCCTATAGAAAAGGAGTATACTTTTCCAAGAAAATTAAATCAAGGATTTACTAAGACACTTTTTTTTTAATAAATATGGAAATCAAAGATCTAGATCATCCTGCCTCTGTTCCTGTGTGACTGGCTGTACAGCTGGAGTAGAATAGCACCTTGTATAGGACAGAAGGCATGAAACTACTCACATTACCATCGGTTGAGGCCAATCTTTGATGTGTGGTAATTCTATATTGTATTAAATGTTACATTATTATAATTAATAATAATAAATTATAAAGGAATAAAAGGTATTTATATTTATAATAAATCCATGTAATAAATCATATACAATTTATATTGTATATCATACAGAGGTTGAACTTTGAATTTTAGTCCTCATAATCTGTTTATAATTCTTTACTCAGGTCTTAGCCAGAAGACACGAACTAGTAGCACTGCCCTCCTGCTACCCTTTGGACAGATGGCATATTTCCTCCTTTGCTGCTTCATTTAACTTCATTTAAGAGGGTGAATAGTGGCCTTTCCCTCAGCTGCTACCAGGGAAGAGGTGAGTACCTAATTCAGTGAGATGATGAGCACCACATGACAGAGCATCCACAGCTGCTGCTAAATCCTCTAAGAAGGGCTGTGGCCCTGCAACTCGGGGAAGCAAGCTGAAGTGCTGTGCCACCCGAATGCAGTGTGCCGAGTTTCAAGAGGAGGGGCAGAGACTTGCTGTGTAAATTCCTACTGCCGCCCCCCTGCCTCGCACCGAGGGGAAGCCGCGTGCAAAGCTAGCTCTGCCTGAACACAAACATTAGATGTGATGCTGTGAAATTGAAACCATCAACACTGATCACGTCTCTAAATCTAGTCTCAGGTTATGAGCACTGAAAAGTAGTATTTCTTTGCCTTTGAGTTTAAAAGCTATAGATTTTGCCAATTTCCATTGTTCCAATCGCAGTCGAGTTTCTCCCACTTCCAGTTCCAGACAGGAGTAAGAAAACGAGGCAGCTCTTACACAGTTCAGTAAGTATAGCATGGGATATTAAAGTCAGCAGAATTTGAGATTTTTAAAATGTGCATGTATGTTTTGGGTCTAAGACACGATACCTGATAACTTCTCTATTTTTTACCAGCTCAGACATTTTGTGATGCAATGTGGTTACTATAAACTAGTTTGACCAGCTGTAAATCAGTAACCGACCAGAGCTGAGTGCGGTTAGCCAAATTCAGCTAACCAGTGTGCAAGACAGAATGGCCTTCGGGTTGAGGGGTACCTCTAAAGATCACCTAGTCCAACTCCAGAGGCTTGGGGCAGGGCAGCAACTGCCTTGCCATTGGCAAAGGGGATTCTTGCTCCCCTGGGGAGAGAAGAGGCATTGGACCTTGTTGACACGGATGGGGATTGATGGGGAGAGGAGCTCCCAGAGGTAGAATTTGCAACAAGGGGCAAAAATAAAGTAAAAAGTCTATGTTGCATAGATATTTTTTTTTTTTTTCTTCACAATGTTAGTCTTCTTTTCATAGTCCATGAGATTGTAGCAGTGGTAAAAGCACTGCCATTGTGTGTACCAGAAGCGGCCCGGGCGCATCCCTTACATCACGCAGGGCTCACTGCATCGCTTCATGGCTCCTGGGCTTTGGTGGCACAGGAACAGCCCAGCTTAGCCACTGCTGAACAGAGACTTGTATTGCAAACTTCCCCTTCTATTTCTTCCACTTTTAAGACTAAGCTTCTGCATTCTTCACTGGTAGCAAGTACAGGTCCGTCCCTCTGCTAACCCACAGTATCATCAGACACTCCTATTTTAAGTCAAGGGTGCCGGGAAAGAATATGTTGATGGCTGTGGACAGTATACTCATTTCTGAGAAAAGACAGGAATAAAGGGAAGGGGTTTTTTTCCCTCTGTGGTGTTTGCCACTTCATCACAGGAATTCCTGACCCTGCCTTTTCAGAAATGCTGTTTGAAAGTTGATTTTTGAGGTTGCAGTTCTCCGAACTTCCCCGGGGAATGTAAACACTGTATGATGACAGCTTTAGGCAATAAAAACAGGCAAAAACATTGTCAAACAGGTTGACAGCCTCCAGAAGGGAAACGCAGATGCAGACTGGAGAACTGCTGCTGCAGCTGTACTGTATCTTCAGATTAGACAGTCAAGAGTAGTTTGTTTCTTTGACTCTTTTCTTGTCCTGCTCCTGTCTGTTCTTGCTCAGTTATCAATCACTCTTATTTCCTAGACTTTCTTGTCCAAAGGGCCCCACTTAAGGTAACTTAAAGCTATGGTAATCATAAATGCAGAACATAAGACTGCTTTACACCCAATTATTTGGTGAATAGCTAATGTAGACTTTTCTTTTATGGGTCATAAAACATGTCGCAAACATTAATTTCTTAAACCTCACACAGAATCCCACTGAGGAAGCTGTTACTTATGTCAAACCATCAACTTAACAGTTATGTCTCACTGTCAGTCAGCAGCAAGTTTTATTTTTCTCCCACAGGCTGAAAACCTTCCCAGGTTATGTTTAACTCTGATTTCAGTGATTTACACTGCTCTTTACAAAACATTTCTTCATTTCTCTGAGCATGGAGAGTGCCCTGTCCGTATGAATGCATCTCAGATTGTTAAAATTCACCAGACAGCAGCATGCAAGGAAGAAAACACACTTCTTGGAAGTTCATGCCTGCAGTTCTTCCTATTTTGAGAGACTGAAATCACTTGATTTATCCCCATATAAAAGGCAGCCTTCTTTACTATGTTAATTAACCATCTTTAGAAAGGTGTGTTTTCATATACCGTTCCTGCAGGCACCATGCATACAAAATTCTCTTTGGAGTCATTTGAGACCTTAGAGGGTGCTTAGGGGAGGCTGTCCAGGGAGGTGGTGGAGTCTCTGTCCTTGGAGCTATGTAAAAGCCAGCTGGACATGGTCCTGAGCAACTGGCTGTAGGTGGCCCTGCTTGAGCAGGGGAGGTGGACCAGATGGTTTCCAGAGTCTCTTCTAACCTCAACCCTTCTGTGAGCTTTTATTTCAAAAATTAATGCAGAAAAAGTCCAGTAATGTTGTAATCAACTCCTTTTCGAGAGGTGTCCATGAGGGCAGAACCCTGTCCTTTCCCCTGACTGAGTATTCCTACTGCTACTAGCATAAAAACCAATGCTACTGATAAAAACTTACACAAAAAGATACAAGACTTATAAAAGGCCTACATGTGACATCATTTTTCTAATTGGTAAGATGACGCTTTAGATGTAGGCATAAACCTAAATAAATAAATGAAGCCAAAGTTGCTTCTAGGATAAGCTTTATATAGAGTTCAGAATAGCGTAAAAGGCAGAGTCAGTACACATTACTGGGGAGAAAGTGGTACAGTTATCAGTAAGTAGGTATATTTGCTGTAAATATGTATCTTCTGCTTGGCTGGGAACAGTTGCTGCAGGAAAGGGAATTATCATGGCCAGATCTCCACTGTGCAAAGGATTTGCCACGGCTACAGAACACAGACAACAAAAAAGTCTGAAGCACCTCTCTGCTGACCAGTGGCCAAGAATAAAAAAGTACAGAGCAGGGCTACTCTGTTTTTACTGGCAATTACTGAAAATTGCTGCAGACAATTCTGCTCAGACAGCAGTGTACCGACTCCACTTTTGCAGGCCCAGGCAGGTGCTGCACAACACTGCCTGGCTGGGCTGGGGAACGGTAAGGAATATAGGAGTATATGTGGGCATCAAGGAAACAAAATGTTATTCATATTCAATGAGGTTCAGGCAAAATGTACTGCTATTCTGGATTCAGAACAATATTTGCAGTTCGAGGAGCGAAGTGGCAGAGCACCCAGTTGATGGGTTCTTAAGCTAAACTGCTTGCAGTGATTATTTTGAAATGCAAAGTAGCTGTCGAAGGATTAAGAACGCATTGGGGGGAAAAAGTACTATTTCTGATTTTCATCCAAGTGTTTCTCACAATGTTAGAAAATGGCCCTGCTTTTAAGGTGAGCAGAGTTTGCCAAAAAAAAGAATGGTATTGGTAGGATTGTGTCTAATAAAGAATAAGAAAGGGTGGTCAGCCATAAACACCTCTGTGAGAGGAAGAGACCTGTTCACAATGACAGCTCCTGTAGCAGCTGCTGCTATGGTGCCTTCCTCATTGACTTCCACATACGTCTTATGGACAACATCTGACAGCACCAGCGATTTTGCAAACGACATTGCAGAAAGGTCAGCTTTTGATTCATTGAAGATGTCAGTCATCCCCATCTCTTGTAATACCTCATTGAGGTTAAAGGTGCTTTCAAGCTTGAATCGGGGAAGGTATACCTCCACTCTTGTCTCAAACATGTGTTCTGAAGAGGCCCACAGCATTAAATTTTCATAGGTCATTGTGCTTTCAATCTAGAAGATGGGGAAAAAACAGAGCTTAAAACAGGTGGGGGGGGCTTCGAAAAGTCTAGATCTTTAGACCCAGCCTTAATTCAGACAACCAGCTTCCAGCCACAGTCCATGATATATACTGCCTTACCTGCTCCAGCCCACTGGTAGATCCATCAGCCATGTCACCTGGCAGTAGGATGATCATGCTCAGTGACTTCTGAGCATAAGGGAGTTCAAGGACCTGAGCACCCATCTCCTCAATGTAGCCAAATTTAAACATGCCTTTCTGATACATCATCTGCACAGGTTTTTTCTCATTCTGTTTAAAAGAAAATCATGCAATCACTTAATCAATACAGCTGTTAACACTTAAAGTTATCATAGATGTAATATCAGTAGTCAGGTTTTCAGCAGTAATCGCTGTTAGGCTAAACATATCTCTTTATTTTATTGCATCTACAGTGACACACAAAACATCGGTTTGGCCATGCATAAATAAAGAAGATAATTATTAAAAATAAAAATAAAAATCCCTGCAACTGATCCGGTAGTGAAGTTGCTTAATAGTTTTACACTTCCAAACAGGCTGATGCTGATTGGACTTGCAAGTCCTAACTTGGACTGGGATAAAGAAGAAATAGCACTGCAAGAACCAGGCTGTCATTTACCAGACTGATTGTTTAGACAGGAAGTAATAAATAGGTTAGGAGCAAAACTAGCCTCTCTCAGGCATCCTCTTCTACATCTTGTTATCTTGCCTTTTTTGTGATGGGGTTGTTTGAAAGCTGTATAAAGGCTCGCTTCCTTCTGCAATTAGCTAACTTCTTAGCTAACTTTTAAAGCAGTGAAAGAAGACTTTTTGTAGATGACATATTTTCTGCAAAAATCCTGCTAGTATTGATTAGCAGATGGAGATTAGCAGATAGTTTCTCCTACTGCAGCAGGGCAGAAAGTATTCTCACCTATTGTCAATATCCATATTCAAAGATACAAAGTCACAAATATAAGCACCCAATATGACAGTTTCTTACCAGTGTCTTAACAAAGGAATGCAACATGATAACTAGAAATACATGTTTTTCTGACCTTTTCATTTGATATATGAGGAACATTCAAAAGAGACTTTTTTCCATACAAAGCTCTGCAATTTAAGATTAGACCTAAATCTGTTGGGTTTTTTCTTTTTTTTTTTTTTTTGGCTGAGAACTAACAGAATATTAGCATAACATTTGGTTTTGGGTTTTTTCTTTTTTTTTTTTTTTGGCTGAGAACGAATAGAATATTGGCATAACTTTTGAAAAGAAGACAAAACTGAATTAAATGAAAGTAAATGTCTTTGATGTCTTTTTTGGTAATGTCTGTCAGGCCTAAAAGGCACATACAATATTTGGAGAAATGTGCTTGTTAAATAACTTTGCAACCGTATTGACAATAGCTTAGTTAAACAATGAAGGCTTTGGTGATACCTCTATGGCAGAAAAATTGGGCTAAAACGTTAAATATATTTTAAATAAACTTTCAAACATTGCAAATACTGTAAATAAACCAAAATACTTTATAAGAATATCTCCTTTTTCAAATTGCAATGGTATTTTTTGCTTGTTACTGGCTGACCTAGTTCATTTGGTGTGTTTTAATCTCTAAAATGTGTAGGTAATGTTAAAATATATTGAATGTAAGAACACCAGGCTGACCCCCTGGAGCCTATATGAAATGTGATGTTCAGATTTGCTTCTATCCACAACAACTATCTGTAATGATTACTATGTTCAACAGTGCTTATCAGGGCTAGCACTTGTGCTTTGCCAGCCACCAGAGAAAACTGTAAGTTGTTGCAACTTCTCAGTCTTGCACATTTTTTTCAGTGAAGATTATGCTTTTCTGCAAAAATCTGTCCTGCCAAATCTAGCCAACAGGTTGAGTTCCCAGCACAACCACACCTTGCTCACAGGACACCTGAGCCCTGGACATTGTGCTTCTGTGTTACGCTTGCTTTATTGCTCACAGTGTCTAGGATAAACAATGTTAAGATTTACGGAATGCAGATGTACCTGATTCAGTTTAAAATCTCTCTGTACTGTTTTTTGTTCCTCAAACTTGTGTTCCCAGGATGCTTTGAAGTAGATTACATTCACCAACACCAGCAGTGTATCTACAGTGATCACACCAGGAGCAAAGAGGTCCTTGATTTTACCTAAAGGAAATTTTGGAATACACAAGTATTTGTTAGTTGTCATTAAGACTCTATGCTGAAATTCCATTACTTGTCTCTGAACTTAGTTTTGGAGAAACTTGGAAATCCAGTTCTTGGCTTTTTCAAAGGACAGGGAAAATATAGACAAATACATGGTAGATTCCTCTGCACTGTTACCAGCCAGGGAGGACAGTGGGGAGTGGGGGTCACCAAATTAGCCAACTGTCAGTGTCAGGGACCATACATATCTGCCAGGTGACATTAACCATGGGGCAGGAAGCAGCACCATTAATTGCATATTTCGGTTTACATAAGGACACCTTCTCCCTGAGCACAGCAGTTAACCAGCTGTGGAGTTTTTGACTTTCTACACAGAAGCAGTTGGCAGGCCCTCAGGCTTCATATGACTACCCAAGCAATGATGGCTCCTAACCCTGTGGCTCCTGAACCTTCAGCCCTCTTACTGAGAGCCAAATGGGGTTAACGAATCTTTCCCACACCAGTCACAGGCCAGTCTGCCAGTACAAGGACAAGTTTGGTCAGGAGATGGGCAACTGAGAAATTATGGAAACCTTCAAACCTATTTGTCTCCCCTCCAGTAAGTTCTGTTTTATGTTCAGCCAGAAGATTTCGAAAATTTTCATCCCACTGCTACTGCATTTCTGGTAAAACTAAAGGAAAATGGCACGTATCACATTTAATTGAATCATCAAGAGCCCATGGCTCCTGCTAGCCTTTTAAGGGGAAGACTGTCACTTGTGATAGTGAGTCTTGCTGATGGTCACATCTCCTGTCTTTGTGGGCATTGTCCTACAGGTCCTCAGTCATCCTCCTTCCCCCCCCACCCCAGCCTGTTCCCAGTCTCACCATGAAGCTAACAGCTTACATCCCCTGCTGTCCTGTATCTGCAGTTGTGGCTATTCACAGAAGCAATTTGTTTGGTCAAACTTTACAGGTATTATTGCAATTATCATGCCGTGCATAAGGGTGGGAATACAAAAGTATTTGACAACAAATGCATCTTTAATTCAGGAATATTTCACATGATAACTTACTCTAATATTTAAAGACTGGATGGGAAGACAAACCATCTTTAAACGGCATAAAATTGAACACACAGAAACATGAACAAGTCTTTGCTTTTCACATCCTGATTTTTTTTTTTTTGTTGAAGCAGCAGAAAAAGGCAGTGACAGTATAGCTATGATTTTGCTTTGTTTTACCTTGTGTCTCACTTTCAACCCAAGAGTTAATTTTTGTTCTGGCAGCTTCAGTAGCACCTTGAAAGTCCACTGTTTGCAGCATTGCTCCATACAGTTCTTTAGTGCACATTAGAAATTGCTGTAAAGCAAAATGAAGATTATGCATTGGTCAAATCTGTTATGCATTTATTCCCTTCTGAAAGAATACAATCATTCAAAACTGGTTTAGAAATGGTGAGGGACCAGTTGACTCCATAAGGCAAAATTGCATTTTGGAAACATCTACTATCTGAAGTTTGTTTTTTGAAGAAGAGATCATTATTTTATTGCATAAGCAAGAAAATAAATAAGTTAAAAACCAGAAGAAAGAGTCTCCCCATGGAGAACTGTATACCTGGGGTTCAGATAAAAATAAAAAATTACAGAAGATGCAGGATGTGTAGTTTAATGCTAAAATATTCAAATCATTCAACAGAAATAATTGACAGAAAAGCAAGGACGTGTTATCTGTACTAGGTAGTCTAGAGATCACTGTCATTCAGTACAAAAGGAGTAGGAAATTCAGCACAGAAGCCCTATGTGTGAAACTGTATAATATCTCAGGTGACAAGCCCTCTCCAGGCTTACTGCTGTGCCACTTGCAAGTCTGGAAGCATTTGACACAGAGCTCAAATAGGCCATTTTTAACTGTAGTCACACCTCTGGGTGAGTGTAGACATATGCCAAAAGTGAACAGACTCCTGCTTTATTTTTGCTCTGTGGCCACTGATATCCACAAGGTGGGGTTTTTTAAATAGAAGAATAGAAAGCTGACACTCTCATCTCTTTCCCACCAGCCCCAAGAGATTCAGCTCCAAGAAGCCTATCAAGTGCTCCAAAATGCACACGAGGGGGACAACAGTGAGGCTCACAGTTACAGAGAAGTTTGAGGTCACGGCCACAGGAGCTAGCAGATACAGGTAACTTACCTGCCGGAGTTCAAATCCTTGTTGTAAAAAGAGATTGTTGGCCAGGGTCAAAACATAGCTTTCACCAAGGTTTTGTAGTTGTAAAAGCAGCGTCTGGAAAGCTTTATGGTTAAGGTCCCCATCCTTGTTACACTGGGAATAATACAAACACAACAATTATAATGATTCTTCCATATAACTTTGGTTGTTAATTTGCATCCTAAATAGATTACGCTATAGGACTAACTCCTGCTGCAGTGATTTTTAAATCCAGCTACTAGTCGAAGCTTCGTTGCCTGATCCTTCTTCAGGTGAGAACACTGAATGCTTTAGTATTGACTTCATGGAAGACTTGGCCCTTAATAAAACACCACCTTGCATCCGGCTTTTCCTAGTGGATTAGGCAGGCTCTGTGCGTGGGATCTTGACTCCCTCCAGTGGCAGACGCTAGTGCTTTATACCGAGTAACCTACCCTATAGTGAAGAGAGGGCTCCAGTGCTCCCCACCCAAGGACGTACCTGTGAGAGGGAAGGCTGTCTCTCCTGGCTTGGTTTTGGCTCCATCGCTGGGGCTGCGCTCTCAAGCTCAGATCCAATTCTTGTTCTGCCTGCAGCTTTCCCGACATGGAGCACCTACAGTTAAAGATGTCAAATTATGGCAATTTTAACTGGGATAAAAGCATTTCCCTTCTTTAAAAGATTTCCAGTGCTGTCCTGGATAAATGGTGTAGATTTATATGAGGTATTTTCTCAGCTTCAGTCAGGCTGAAATGACAGGCTTGAAATTGTTCATATATTCATGTCCAAATTCACATTTCTGTATTAACAAACCAAGAAGAACTTGCACTTAATCTCTCAAAGTGTTACTCTCCACTACCTCAAAATGTTTACATTTGATTTGTATTTTTATTGCTTCAGGTACCTTAAATTTCAAAACAAAAAGTTCCCTCAGGCAAAAACATAGAAAAGTTTTTTTTAAAAAAACAACAAAACTGGCTTTTGCAATCACTCTTTAACTTTGCATTAGCTTAGGAAATGCATCAAAACACCAGTACTCTAGATGGAAAGCAGTCTTTGTTTCTAATGTGCAAATATCTTGCTGAAAAATTTCCACCAGCTTCTCCATTATAATAATGTTGCATCATACATAGACTTAATCTTTTTTATTGAGGAGACTGGATCCCCATTGCTTTCCTAAAATAAGCAAGAGTCCCTGTGTATTGGGTCTATCTGGCAAGGTTATGGCAGCCAGGGGGCTGCAGGGGTGGCCTCTGTGCAAAGAGACCAGCGGCTGCCCCCATGTTGAACCGAGCTGGTTCCAGCCAGCTCCAAAATGAGTCAAGTCTGGTTTGCCATGACAGTAACTGGTGAGTGACTTCCCTGTCCTTATCTCAACCCACAAGCTTTTTTAATCCTATTTTCGCTCCCTGTCCTTGTTGAAGAGGGAGAGTGAGAGAGTGGCTGGGTGGGCAGCTGGCAGTCACCAGCCAAGCTCAACCAACCACATCTTGGGAACCTCATGAGGAGGACATGTCTATCTTGGCTATGGGTTAGTTAGCAGCAGTTAAAATGTGCGTGGCAGTGATAGGATATGATGCATTAAACTCTACCAGTACAGAGCCAGCTACTGATAAGAACCTCTGCCCTAGGATTACTCATCTTTTACCACTCGTGGGCACAAACAAGAAAAGAAAGGTTGTTGAAAACAAAACTTGCACTGCTGGGAGTAAAGGTGCAGCGATCAGAGGAGTGGCCTTCTTCATCCCATCCCTGCCCACCTGTGTCCCTGTGAGCTCTGCAGGTGAGACATTTTGACTCTTGAATGCCATAACTGTTAAGTGAGCTGTTTCCAGCCACCCAGCTGTGATCACTTCAAGTTTCTGCAACTCTCCCCGCTACCCACTCAGACTCACACTTTCAGGATTCTCATTGCAATCATGAGAAGCAGCGCCTTCCCATAATTTTGAAACAAAGTCTGGTATTCTAGCAGCAGGCTGGGGGAAAGCCAGAATTCCCCTCGGAGGTGTATCACCTCCTCCCATTCAGCTCTTGCTCCATGCTCCTGAGCCTGCATGGGGGCATGGTGTGACTCACGCAAGCAGATGGCAAGGATCATAGCGCACCAAGCATCACTGTGAAGGCAGCACCTGTGCTTATATTTGTGCTTGTTTCCTACGAGACCCTGGCACACGTGTTGTGCTAGGATGCCCAACATTTCCATTAAGCAAACAGCAAGCAATGTGGAAGCATCTCAGCACATTTCATTAATACTCACTTCTTCTATCTGAGCAGCAGTGTTGTTTTTTGCACCTAGATGGACCAGGGCCAGGGCAACAGAGATGCTCATTGGAGAGAAGGCGATGTTTGTGTTCTCTGCATTTCTGTTGAGCTTATTGTAGAGATCAAGGCAAAACTCAGTAATTGGTCTAGAAACGGAGCCCATCATGAAGAAGCTGCTGACTGGGAGCACAAAAGAAAGAAGAAATTTAATGCAGATTGTTGCATAGCTACATCACACTGTGAAGCATCTGTCTACCCCAAGATTGTCCCATAGCTGGTTGCGAAATAATAGAAGTTTGCTAAATTCAGAGAGTTTGAAACAGCCAACCTTGCACACACTTGTTGGTCCATGCTGCACAGCAGGAGCAAGGACACAATGGACCCAGAAAAGGGACCCATGCTCACAACATACATGAATTCCTCAGAAAGGGCCATTTTTCTGTCTTATCTCATCGTGTACCTTATTTTCGATCACACTATTGAAATCAGTCAACTGTGGATTAACATTTTCCTTCTCCAAACTGGTTTAATGTATACAGTCCTGTCAATTCTTTCCTCTTGCAACAACATACTATTAATGACAGAAACTTAGTAACAGAAACTATGCCTGCATATGACCATGTCTGGTAACCAGAGCTGTGGTATGAGGGTTTCAAAGAAGAGGTTTATAAAACCAAAATCACCATTAATTAAATGAAAAAGGGTCATTAACAGCTATGGAGACTGAACTATGTATGGAAACATGAGCAGCTGAAATACTTTTTCCCTCCCCATGAGTTTTCCAGGAGTCACAGATTCAGACAGGATACATAATTAAAATTTCCAAACTAAGCAATAGCTCAACAGCCCTGAAAAGAAGTCTGTTCCTGGTCAATGATACAGCAAGATCTGTGTCACTTCTTCCTTTTGTACTAGAAACAACAGCCTGATACCTTTCCCATGGGTTTCCATACATAGTTCAGATCAGTCCAGAAACACTTCACATGAAGACCTAATACAAATGGGCAAATCAGAGGAGAAACACCCAACAGATTTTCTGAACAAACAAATTAGAGATGAGTTTTATATATCTCATTAAGTCTGAAAACAGCTGTTCTAGCTCTACTGTTTGTGTCTTTGTACGAAACACAGGTTTAATTTTCCTTCTAATAACAGTCGTCTTACCACAAGAAAAAGACATCACACTAAATAATAATTTTTCCTTTCTTCCACCTTCATTACCTACTCTCCAGAACCTTCTGAAAACAAAACTCAGTGCTTCTGTAGTGTTGAAGTTTGTATTGCTCCACTTCCACACCTCTTAAGAGATCTGAAATGGAGCTGTGAAATCATTCATGGCGAATGTAGGTCATGAGGCGTATTGTAGGTGTGCCCAGACCTCAGAACGAGTCAAGGAGAAAAAAAGAGTTAATAAACTTCCTCAGGAGGGAAGAGTCACCTCCACCCCACCCTGCAGGGAGAGGAAGGATTGCCAAGTTGGAGGGAGAAGCCAGGAGCTGGGAACAGGTTTTAAAAGCCAACGGAGGTGGCCACTCCTTTAGAAAAAGCAGCAGGCTGTGCTCAGGGTGATGTTCAGGTGCAAACACTGTGGCCAACTCCATCATTTTGTGAGTCGGAACTATTTAGAGAGCTGCCCTGGAAACCCAAAACAAGGGACAGGAGGTGTGGGCTGGTGGAGGAACTTTCTTACTGCAGAATGAAAGGATTTAATGAAATTTCTTAATCTAAATTGAGGTGGGCACAAGTGTATGAGCCATCTGTGTAATCAGTGAAATCATTCAATCAGTGATAGTTTTGGAGCTACTGCAAGGACAGTGGAGTTTGGAGAACACCTACATGGTGGGCAACAAATGGTAATGTTACTTTTCAAAGATCTTGGCGTGGTAAGGAAGAGAAGATACAAGATCAAAAGAAGTGCTCCAGGAAGATCACAGCTGCCTTGCTGCACTAGCCAAAGTGTCTGCACTGAACATTAGCAACAGCGCAGAGACGGCAACCAGGGCTGGGGCTTTACAGCTGATGAAGGGAGATGCTTTGCATGATGGTTTAGTAGCTTTTAACATAGACTGGCAGATGAAAATTGCTGGCGCTGTTATGTGTGAGCAAGAAGCTACCCAGGAAAAGAGCTTCCTTCAGAAACCTTGTAACCGCAGACCTTGTAAAGATGACAAACGTCTTCCATAGCTGTGTGAAATGAAGGGCACTCCTTTTCCATAACTATTCATGATCTGTTCTCTCCTTACAGTTTGTGTTTGGCTAAGGGTAGATGAAATCAAGACAAAAACTCTCAAAGAATAAAAAGCTGTGCTCAAAGCTATCTTAATTAATAGGTGTATTAGATTACATTATGCAGTCAACAGGAGGCGGCAGTAAATAAAGTGGGGAGGCTAAGAGAGTTGTAGCCTTGTTTTTAAGGTAATTCTATATTTAATACAAGGTAAAGCAAGAAAGAACCTGTTTTCCCTGATGTCACATGATAATTCCCATTGCATGTTTTGCTTATTCAATCTGCCTCCCATTAAGGTGCTTTAGTGCGCATTAATTTCTCATACATAAAGGAAGACAGAATTGGCAGAAATTACATGTGTCTATCCTAGAAAAGGAGCACATGCCAGATAATACTGTCTCCTCCCATGAAAAATCTATGATTGGTAGAAGTGACTTTCTTATTTTTTATGACCATTCATACAAAAAGAAATTCCCAAATGTTTCTGTGCTGATTGGGAGTGAAAGGGACAAATAGCACATAAGAAAAATGGAAATTCCTACAACACAAAAATTCCAATCATCCCTATGTGACACAAAATATTTTGAAAGTAACAGGATTTAAATTAAAAACCAATGCATTTCAGTACAAAATACAGGGAAACATTACCGAGTTCATTTTCCAAACAGCTTAGCCTCTCAGGCTACTACTTTTATGCCAGAATGGGCTTCTTCAGACTGCTTTTATTCTTTTGCATCAGTACCTCCAGGATGTATATTTTCTACCTCTTTCTAGGCCAATTATTCCTGCATAAACAGGCATGGATGTACATTGGCCTGTTACAGGCTGTACAGTGATTTGCTATGCCTGTGTGCAGCTGCACAGGCTCCTCAGCAAGCTTCTAAACATCCTTGCCAAACCCAAGAGCTAATACATAGCTAGTGAAGACTAGCATCCCCACTAACAAAACAAAATCTGAATACTACTCCACCCTTCCTATTTTATATAATCATTGTTTAAGCACATAAACAATGCCCCGGCAGCAGGGATCAGGGTACAGGAGAAACACCTAAGCACTCAGGCAAAGAACTGCATGCCCTCTCTCTCTTCTGGTGAAAATTTCAAGACTTTTTCTTGTTCCATGGAAATTTGAGTAAAGAAGGGGAAATTAACGTATCTACCCCTTTGTGGGTGAGTTTGCCCAGGTTATCAGCACACCCACTTCATGTGAAGCCCATTTTTACCAGAGTGGGTAGAGGTGCTCTGAAAGAGCCTAGTATTCAGCACTTCTGGAGATATAGGCAGAAAAGCATCTGCTTTCTGGTATGAGCTGCTGAGCTGATCTGTCCTGTGGCAATTAGAGCTTTCTGGATAGGCACAGAGGTCCTGGGGAAATTTCAGATTCAAAAGTCTGTGAAATTTAGGCAAGAATCTTTAGATTCATAGCTTTGGATGTGTGTTCCTAAATTCCCCATCTACATCCCACTGAAGACCTGATCCCTTTGTGTGAGCTCTTGAGCCACCTGAATTTCAGCAGTGTGTTTTGCTGCCTGCAGCCTGTTAAAGGTATCTCCCTCTCTGTCCCATCTGTAAACATGATGTTTACTTTACCAACCTGTAGACTACTAACACATAAATTATTTTGGAAGAAAAAAAAAAAAAGAGAGAATTGTTTACCTTCTTGCCCGAAGAGGTTAAATGAAGAGCACAACAGCTGAGATCTGGAGCACGTTCCTGTGAATACTGTATTACAAAAATCTCCCACTCTCTTGTGGGAAAGTTCAGCCTCTCACCAATTGTTGATAATAGCAGCATGTTGCAATTTAATGCAAGTGCCATCAACATGAAGTTCCCTGCAAATACTGGGAGACCTATATCTACCAATAAGCTAATAGCATGTCTCTTAAAGCTGTACAACAAGTTTAGCAGGCAATATCTGCTGGCAACGACTCCCGATTGCAATGCCAAGTCACCCTCAGCTGGAAAACAGGGCATTAACCCTGCAGATCCGTGGCTGAGCTGCTGTGCATAGTTTCTTTCAAATCTGACTGGGTCTGGCCTGAACAGAGGGGTGTGCAGGGCTCATGCCAGGATTCAAGGAAACCTTGTTTGGAGCTGAGCTTGCTTGCAGAGATAGAGCAAATGAATGGGAAATTCATGAGCTTTATGTTGCCTGCAGCCATCTCTCTCTCTCTCTCTCTCAGGTAGGAAGTCAGCTTTATGCGTATGGAAGGAGCTTAATTAGAGAAGGGAAGAAGTATTTCCTTGAACTGTAACAGGAATCCCCAGCCAAGGGTTATTCGTTTAAATCATTGGAGTTAAAAATAAAAAGGCGTCCAGGAGTGGCTGATTACATAGGTTGTGTCTTCAGCATAGAGTGAGATGGAAGTAAAGAGATGGGAATCATGGAGCTGCATCAACACAGTGTTTGATCTCCCTTAATCAGCACCTCTGATCTCAGGTGCAAAACTGGGTTGTGGAAGCTGGACTTGGGGGGTCAAAATGAAGCCCTCTAGGATTGTATGTGGCTTTGCAACCCTGAAAATTTTCAGCCTTTCCTTTCTCATGTCTTCTTTCTTCCTACAAAGCATAAAACTGGCTTCAGATTCATGGGATATTTGAGGCATCAGATATGGGGAGGGAACAAAGGAGGAAAGAGGTACAATGTCTCCCAGCACCATCTTGCCCTTCCCACACTTCCCTTCTAGTGCTGAAGCTGGACCACCCTCTTCCACAAGCAGAGCTCCCACCAGCTTTGCTGTCCCCTGCTCCTCTGCCAGGTTATCAGCCCAGTTGCCCAGGCTCCAGTGCTCCAGTGCCCATCCGAAAAGAGGGATTTGTAAACAATGCAAGACACAATGATAAAATGAGTGTTCTTGTTACCCTTACTCTTTCCCTTGCTTTTTGGCTTCCATTTGCCATTCACTTCTTTGTTTCTGTTTTTCCTTCCTGCATGT